AATTATTTTGTAATTAAGTTATTTTCTTAGATTTCTTATTTTGTATTTTTTTTTTTTTGGAACACAATTACTTTTATAAATACTCGGAAATTGATCGAAATCTTAAAGGAAATTAAAGAAAATTTTTGTAATAATTTTATATAAAAATCAATTTAGGAATATATAGACTTACCAATTTAATGTCTGTATGTAGAGTGTACTAAATTAAATTATTTTTTACTTCATGATGTCATTACTATGTCGATCTGAAATAATTTGAAGTAAGTCATTTATTTGTTTATAAGAGTAATTAAATGAAATTATTAAGAGAAATATTTGCGAGTAAAAAATTTAAGAATTCGTTGAGTTAATTGAATATTAAATTCTTAATTATTGAAAAAAACACATCTGATTTGTACCATTTTATAGTTTGAAAACAATGGGTATAGGGCATTAACTTTTCTGGATATTTCCTAGAAGAGCTTCTTAGCAAAATCTTTTTTGAATTTGAATTATAAAATATGCTATTCCGTTCTCTTAATAGCAAAGTAATACTGTCGCTATTATCGAATTTAAAATTATTAAACAAAATTTTATGCAGTTTCTTTACCTAAAATAATGAAATAAAGATTAAAATTATAATACCCTAAATTAAAACAAATTTGAATAGCTACTTAGAGCACTAATTAAGCTTGATATTAGCTCTCTATGAGGTTAATCGATGCCGGAAATATCAGTTGCAATATTTATTTGTTACACAATACAACTCATGAGAACTTCTGTTGAGTGTATCTCTGATGAATTCTTCGAATCCTAAAAAAAAAAACTCGTTAATAAATGCAAACAGCAATTGCGTATAACCTAATAATAAAATTTTATCCAATATCCGAAATATTAAAGCAGAAAACATTAAAATAAAACAAGAATGAATAATCCAACATAAAAGGAAGGATTAACAAATCAAAAAAAAAAAAAAACAAATTCAAAATTAATAAAGAAAAACAAAAAAAAAACGAGAACGTCATGGTACTGACAGTTTTTAATGTCCTTTAATGCTTGTCCTTTTGTTTCAACATCATCAACAAACGCAAAATATGAACAATATCTCAAATTCAATATTTTACGTATACATACAGATAAAATATAATAAGAGTTACAATAAAAAATATTAAAGTGAGAGGATCAAGGATTATTTTTTTTATATTTTTAATTTTTATTTTAAAATATAAGGACAGTTCATTAATCATATTTCGACTTGATTTTTAATTTCTTTGTATTTTTCATTTATTTTTTTCCCTTTCTTTTATACGTATATCAAAAAATGTCAAATCAGTTCCAGAGATCATCCTAAAATTTTTCTCTACAAGGTTTTACTTTGTTTTTTTTTTGTATTTTATAATGAAATTTTATAAATTTTTTTTTTACCACAAAATCTATATAATTAGTGAAAAATATAAAATTTATTATTTGAAATATGATTGTATTGCTGCGTGTATTGGGAAGTCATTTTGGTATTATTCCACGATTAGATATTGATTTCTAAATATCTGGTCTTGCATCATGATACCATTGTTTATAATTTTTCTATAACGCCTTCAATATATTCATATTTTTTTGTTATAATTATATTGTGAAAATGATAAATTGGATAGCTCAAAATAAAAACGGATTTGTCAAATCAGAATAAAAAAAAAATATTCACTTCAAATACATATAAATACACCTTCACAGTAGAAGGTATGTAATTAAATTGCGCATTATAAATCAGTGGTTTCAAAATTCTCTACAAGAGTTTTGGAGATTTTATTGTTGCCCGTGTATTTTCAAGGAAAAATTTATCTGATTGAAAAAGTATGTTTAGGGTAGATTTTAAAAACCAATGTCGATTTTAGTAATTTTATACGAGCATTCAAACCCCTTGTAAGGTGGTATACATTGGTCAAATTTTTACAAATGAACTTTGGAATTATAGAGAACTCAAATCGAAATGAAATGCAAGTACTTACTGTAATACAAGTATAGCATTCAAAATATAGTTACTGTAATGCAAGTAGCATGCAAGTAGCATGCAAGTAGCATGTAAGTAGTAATTAAAATTTAATTAGCGTACAAGTAACTGCTGAAATACAAACAGTTTTTTAATATTATTAAAAAAATGCAATGCAATAATGAAATACTTAATTCAAATTTTATTTTAAACATAATTAATATTTAATTTTACAGAAAAACGATTAATTAAGGTTGAAATATTAGAGATTTTCGAAAAAATTGACAACAAAGAGAAATTTAAAGCTTCTGTTTTATGTTTTTTTAATATAATATTTAATTATACGAGTATATGAATATTTTTCCAAAATCCTTTAAATTTGATTAAAAAAAACTATAAAACAAAAAAAAAAAACAATAAAAAAAGATAACCTCAGTGATTTTTGATGAATTTTCCATAGTAATGATAATTTTTGATGGTTTTTTAATAAAATATTATAACACCAATGATATTGATAATATTATAACAATTATAATGATTGTGTATAGCCGGTGGCATAAAAAATACGTACAAGTGCATTTGACGTTCTCAAATTAATTTATCAAAATCGATGGATGTCTAGTTTTAATAGGACTCCCGCTGGCAGATTATCTCTACGTTTTTTAATATTATAAAATAAAAAATTGAATAAAATTTAATTTTTTTTTTTCTGTTTTTCTTATTTTTTATTTTTACATTGAAATGATTGCGGTGGTTTTAATTTAATTTTATAAAAAAGAACGAAAAATTTTGAGCGCCATGTAGTCAAATAAATATTATTTAATGATTTTTATGTAGTTCATCCACTCTAAATAGCCACAATTTTTTTTTCTCATTTTTGAAAGATTTCCGAGAAAGAACCACCAACCAAATAAAATAGCATATGGAACAGATATAAAGTAAAAAGAAATATTATTAATAATAATAGAGAATTCGGTTCGTTTGACAGATAACGTTAAAGATAAATTTTGAAATTTTTGGGGGGAGAAGAAATTGAGGAAGAAAAAAAATTTTTTTTTTTAATTTAGTTTTTTTCATTCTCCACATCAAAATTTTTGTGTTAGTATATATTTTGATTTTTACGGTATTTGGGTTGATAAAAAATAGATTTGGATTAAAAGTGGAAATAATTTTTAATTTTAATAAAACAAAAATTATATTCGATTGTTGTGAAATTGTTATTAAAATTGTAATGTTGGTGTGAAAAGGAAAATAATATTTACGATCGAGGAATTTGGTAATAATTTCGAAATAAATCGTAAATCATAAGTCGACTATTAATATCAATCGAAAGTCAGTCGGAACATAGCCATTAAATCTCCATCATCATTCACTCTTATATCATATGTTCTAAAAGAAAGCAGCCAGTCACTGTATCTGTTTTTTTATTTCTGTTCCTGATGATACAATCCGAATTTTCGTGAATTGAAGCACTTAACAACTTTTCATTATTCCCTTTTCGCACAAATTCATATTCCTATACGAGCTTCATCATTCGATATGACATCGGTCTGCTAGCCGACACGCATTCTGCATATAAGAGCGGTAGAAGTCGATCTGAAAATTAGCACGAGAAAAATCAAATCCCTCTGAATAAGCTCAACAAACGCTTTCCTCTTTGTAATAAATACAAGCTTAATATAAGATGTCGAACAATTCAATTATTATGGCAGTATAATTTCGACAACCCGAGAGGTCAAAGAAGGGGCAGATTTGGCCGATTATTTGCCATTTATAAATCTTCACATTTATCTAAAAATAGAAAATTAAGAATATTCAACAAGAAATTCAATTAAAAAAAAAATATGGATGAATAGGCCATATATTGCGAAGGCCACCCAAAATAATTGCAAAGAAGGTTGTGGAGTAGGAAACCGTTGGAAGACATAAGAATACATCTCAAAGAACGATGAAGAAAGAATTCGCCACGGCCAACATATGACATGGGTAGGAGTAAAACTAATGGCCCCTAACAAAGTGCGGTAGAAAAGCTTTTTGGAAGCTCTATACTATCAAGGGGAGTAAAATAGGAAAAAAAAAAGATTGCGCTAGTCAACAGACAACAGCTCTACAGTTTATAGCATAATATACAGTATTTACCTTAAACGTTAATGTCCAACGACAAATCGGTCTTTTATAAATTTGAGGAAAATTTGTAAGGAAAAATTCTATAAATTTTTATTTTTTTTTGTGTTCCTTGTACATTTCGTGGCCGTTTTATTTTTATGAGGTTCTCAATATTTTTTTTTTTACTTTATAGTCATTAGTGGCGAGATAAAAATGTTTTTCTGATGGGAAGTAATTAATTTTAAAAGCTTTTTTTTCCTAAATACTTACAGCATACAAAAAATATAAAAACTCATTGTACATACATACATACTTCCAGAATTTTTTCTTATATTCTTTGATAGGTTTAGGTTATTTTTTTGTTGATCGTTTTTCTGTTAAATTTCTCGAAAATTTGTTAATATTCTATTTTATTTTTGGTTATAATTTTTAATTTTATAGTGTTGTGTCGTTTATATTATTTGAACTTTAGTGTCAGATAAGATTATAATTATAGAATACATATTATATTATTATTATTACATTTATATCCGTAAACGGAGATGAACTTGGACATGTTATATGTATAAACGAAATTATTACGCATGATAAGAAATTCTGATATTCTATAGCTGTATTATAATACTTTCGGATGAAATTAAATCAAATTGTGAAAATGGAAGTTTAATTTTTATTTTTATTAATATTTATTTTATATTACAAATTATTTTTGCTATCTTTATGCTATTTAAAGATTTTCTTAAAAATATTTTATATTTTTAAATAATAATTTTAAATTTTATTAGCTATAGAAATTCTTCTTTTTAAATTGGTTTTTATTTTAATTTTAATTCAAAAATTATCTTAAATATAAAATAATAAAAATTAAGAAAAAAAAAAAATGGAAATTAAAATATTAATGTATTTTTCGTTTTTGTATTTCTTTCAGGTATGGTCACTTTATTCATTGGCGTTTTATCAGTTTCTGGTGTTAAGTATTTTAAACAAATAAAAGACTATATTTTTTTTATGTAAAAATTATTAATTTTATTATTGAAAACATATTAAAAACAAAATTTAATGGAATCTTTAATAGGAGATATAAAAACTCCAAAAAGAAAAAAAATAGGGAGTGATAAGTAATAATAAGGGATAGGCTAAATTAAAAATTCTATATTAAAATATAATTGATTTAATTACTTATAAACAAACTTGACGATATGAAAATATTTTCGATTTCTCATTTTAATTCTACGTATATACCCTTTGTATACCCCTGTACGTATTTCTACCTATTAAAGCATTTGAGTCCGCCGCCGTCGCCTAGAATCTCTAAATACTGCTATTTTTAATGTTGAATTAATTGAGGATTGAAAATATTTAGTGAGCTTACTGAAATAAGAGAAAGTACAAATATATATTATCTACGTAATACTGGTATTTCTGAATTTCAGTGTTTTTAAATTTCAGGATTGTTATCTCAATACAAATAATAAAACATAGAGCCATTAATTTCATATAAACAACTTTGGTAACAGGCGGTCTAATAAATCAACAAATTTAATTTTTCTTACAATGGTTGTCAATTAAAATAATTTGATTATAACTCAGAAAACATTAAGCCAGCAATATTCTTATTTAATTTTGAACAATTCAAACAATAACTGACCCTATTGTTCTGATAAAGTTCCTTCAATATTTGTCATGGAATTTCTAAAATAACTGAAGCCTATAATGCTACAATTTTTGGTAAACGAGTTTGATTATAAGTTGGAGTTACAATCGTAATAATCCACTTTTTTCACTTATTATAGTATACAATTAATTTTACTGATAGCAAGCGTAAAATGACTGTTTTATCTTGTTCAAATTCTTTCAAAAATATTTACATTACACTTAAAAATGTTGACAAGTACAAATTGAGTTATAATTTTTCAACATTCTTTGTTCTTTGTTCATACTTACTCTTAAATTTCCTCAAAAGTAATTTTTCATAATTCATTCTTTTCTTTTATCATTAAAATTAATTTTAGTTACATCAACTTAATCTTGTATAATTTTAATTTTATTCATAAAAAATTACCAACTTAATAAAAGTTTTGCTTAATTTCTTTTTTTTTCTTCAATATCACAATTGTATGACGTACTTTTCATCTCAATTACTGTCCAATTACAAAAATAACTTATGAATAATGCACGCAAACAAAAAAAAAATATCAAAGGAATAAAAACCTTCACAGCGGTAAATTAATCCACACACGGATCATTGTGTAAATGTCAAATTTACTTAACAAAAAATGAAACAAAAAGAAATTAAAAAAATTTAAAAGCAAATCTAGAAAATCCAGAAAATCATATCATCAAGTCAGTTTAAAGTCTTTAAGAATGTTTATTTTGTAAATTACGTTATAAATGTTTCTAGCATCCCGCATATACATAAATCCCATATAGGACTATATAAGCAAATATAAAAAAAATGGTTGCAATATGTTGGTACGCGAATAATCGTAGGACGATGTCATTTTCGTGCAATTTGCAAAATCATCAAAAAATCTACAGTTCATTTCAGCTTTAAAGTATTAATAACAAAAAAATATGCTTCTTTTTTAGGAATATTTTAATAGGCATGAAAATAATATTATGTTATAACAATTTTAATGCAGCATAGCTATAAGGTATACGGAGTATGTAGTAATAATGTACATATATTAAGGCTGTAAACATCACAAGAGCCCTCGGATATTATCCATAAATATTTCAGACTGAAACATATGCTATAGAATTATGGGCTCTGGATTGTATCAGAAGGAACATTAGGAGGAGTAGGGTTTTATTATGCCGGACAGTTAGGCCGTCATCGGGGTTCTTTCGTCTGATGTAGTGTGATACAAACTGCTAAAGGAATGCGTCGATGCACTTGGTGTCCTCACTAGGCACAATAAATTAACCTTGATTTGGATGTTATATCGCAGTTTGTCAGGGGTCTTGGTATAAGGGTAATGGAGGTGGGGATGGGAATCACAAAAAGTAATCCTAGATCGATGTGAACGGCCACGGCTGATATTATTACTGAAAATAGCATTTAAAATCTTGTATGTCAGCATTTTTTCATTTCAAAATTCACATTAAGTTGGAATTCATAATTCGGAACAGACCAGTTTTCGATCTTCGTAATAGCGGTCTCTGGCGATATCTTTTGCGAAGCAGCTTTATCATCAAAGCTTCGATATAATACCAATCATCTTATCATGTTCCGATTTAATACCTATTACATTACATTGTAAAGTTATTCCTGAGGCTATGAGATGGCAGACCCCTTATTCGATGCGGTGTTCACAATCCTATCGTCATATTGCAGCATCTTACACCTTTTTCCTATCTGCAATTGAAAAGAAAACCTCCTATTGAGTTTGTTATGGAAAAATTTTTTATTAAGAATTGCTTTCAAAACGCAACACAACCAAATAACTTTGAAAAAAATTTATTTATTTCATGCAACTGTAATCAAATATCTAAAAATCAACTTGGGGGTTTAAATACCTCAAGTTATTTCTTATTTTAATTTCAGTTCATTGCCTATATTAGCCTTTTAAACCATAGAAATTAACTTTTTACCTCATTAAATCTCACAAACTAAAATATGAATTTCTGTACACTCAAAAATAATTTATTCTTAAGCAAAAAATATTAAAAAAAAAAAAACATCAGAACACTTTAACAAATTTAAAATGAAAATTTTCTATTTTTTTTTTTTTTAAATGAAAATTAAATTAGATTTTCCTTTTTAGCACTTTTCCAAAAATTTTTTGAAAAAAAGTGCTTATTAGTTTCACTCTGTCCGTCCGTCCGTCCGTCCGTCCGTCCGTCCGTCCGTGTGTCTGTTTACAAAACTTCTACATTCTTAAAGATAGAGAGCTGAAATTTAATACGTACATAGATCTTTACTAGAAACTTATTTTCGTTGAACAAAATTTTTACCTATCTCCCCCCCTCTAGAAGTTATACCCCCCCAAAGCACTAAAAATTACCTATTTTAACTATTTGTTGCAATGAAACCATAAGCATTTTTGAAATTTTGCAAACCCAGAAAGGCAGCGGCGTGCTTTCCCTACCGTGGTATACTATAGTTAAACTTTAGAAAAACAAAATGGCCGCTCAAATTTACCGTTATCTAAAGTACTTTTTTTCCAAATTTTTGATGTCGTTTTTCTTCTAGACGCCAGCCTCTAGGAGCTTGAAATTTTAGGGGCTTTTAGACATTAACAAATAGTTCATTTCGTTAGAAGAAAATTTTTTTCCATCTCCACCCCCTCTCAAGTTATGGCCTCTTGAAATTTATAAAATTTGAATTTTTGACACCTTATATTTCCGAAACCGCAAGCTTTTTCAAATTTCTATAAACACAAAAAGCTAACGGTAAATTCCATGACATTAAAAAATATAATTATTTTTCTTAACTCACATAATTAAACCTTAAAATCGAGCATTATGTTAACCCCACTTTATATTAATTTTTTCTTTTTTTCAAAGACTGCATAAATCGTTCATCCTAAATATATGCAATTCTAGAAATAGTTTTGTATATGAATGTAAATAATTTTAATAGTGTGATAGGTATACATAGACTGTTTTTAAAAGCAGTATTTTCACTTGTTGAAGGGAAAAGTGCTGCAATACAAACCATTGGTTTGACCCAACTTTTTATTTTTTTTATGAAAGATGAATAAAGTGCTGAATGGCAATTTTCTTTAAAAAAAAAAAAACCAAATGAAATGATTCGTTGTACATTGTATGCATAATAATTTTGTTTTTCCTTTTCTTCTTTATAAAAATATTTTTAATAATAATATTGTTTTTAAGAAAGGTACATAAAATATCTACATAGACAGGTATAATTATTATTATACACACAGAAAAATAAAAAGTAAAAAACGAAATTTTTTTTTTTTTTTAATTTTTTTGTTAGAATTCCTGTAAAATAAAATGTTTTACTTTAAATAACAAATAAATAAAAAGAAAACGCGGAAATCATATCGTGCCAGACAAATCTCAAAAAAAAAAAAACAAACCACAAGAATAAAAATTGGTACATACAAAGAATGCAAAAAAAGAAAATTGAGTAAAAAAAAATTTTAAATGGTATCAGGCGAAATTTATGCACGCATATTGAGTCAGATATGCGCTGCCAAAACTATATAAAATGAATACAAAATAGAAATACAAATATATGCATAGTACAGTCTTGATTGTCAGGTCTTTTAACTAATTTACCTTATTTTTAAGAGAGCACGAAATATTTAGATTTTTGTTTTTGCCACGTTCAGATCTACAATGATTAACTTCGTTTATTTTCTAGTTAATTCGTAATGAATAGTATTTTTATTTTAAATTTATGATTAAAAATGCGGCGGGGTATGAGATGTAGTACGGCGGGAGATTTACTTATTTTTGTTTATAAAATTAAAAAGGTCTTAATATACGGAATTTTCTTAAGGAAATTCATTCTTGTATTTTGAATAAAAACGCCCATAAAATATCTTTGAAAAATTGAATTATATGAAACCAATTTTCTTTTAAATTTTTTTCTTTTTATAGAATAAAAAAGAAAGAAATTTGAATTTGTTTTTTTTTTTTTATTTAAATTAGAACAAATTGTGATTTAAAAAAAAAATTGTTTTATGCAAAGGGTTAATGTCCTTGCTTTTAGTTTGTAATACGTGCATTGATTTAAAATTAAAACGATCGAAACTATTTCTATTATTCTAGAATTCAATTTGATTTTACTTACTCGTAAGTTGTAGGCAATCAGAAATCCATTAAGTTCCATTAATTTGAGTGGAGACGTCGTTTGTCAAATAGTTTCTGTTCCTGACAATTTCTCAATTTAAATAACAGATCATAATCAATTTAAAAGTGTCAATTTAACGTTTCAGAAAATAAATTTGTTTTATTTCCAAACTGATACTTTTTTTTTGACAAATGAATTTTATAAGTTGGGAATGAAAAGTTATTGTTCATAAAGAAGAATAGAATTACTATTGAAGGAGAGGAAGGAAAGCTATTTGTTTTAAAGTTTTTATATACCAATGTAACGTGGAGGGACATTACAAGTTTTAAAAAACTTTGTTGATTAGAATTAAAAAATTTCTTCAAAAAGTACTGGTTGAATTTTAAAAATTTATTTTGTTAACCCTTACGAACCGGCTCCAGGAAAGTTCAAACATGTTGTACTATTTCATTTTTACATGATTCGGTATACTAAATTTTAACACGTTTTTTTTTCATAACAAACACTTTGTTTTATATAAAGATGATAGATCCCACGTGTGAAATATTTGCTTATTACAATATTCGAAAACTGGGTCGAAAGGGTTAAGAAATAGATTAATGTTCGGATATGTACCACAAACTGAAAATTTTAATACTTTGTATTTGCTTAGAATATTAAAAAAAAATTTTTCTTAAAATTCCAAATAAGACTTAAAAATATTTAAATTTTCCATTTTTTTTTGAAATTACATACTTGCAAGCGCCTGTATTATATTAAGATTCCGGTTTGAATAACTTCGACAATGTTACAAATATTGTCAATAGTATTTGTCAAATTTAGTAACTTGTATGCATGCTTAATATTCTTCATTTATTTTAGAATTATTACTCTTGAACGTAAACTCACTATAAAATGGAGTTCTAATTTAGCCGACAGACGAATTCTATATATGAATCAAAAATTTATAGAATAATTCAGATTTAAGCTATACGCTCTCGGGTGTTAAAGCTTTCATTCTACCATATGCATAATGCATTCATTCATTCCAATTGCCTTCTTTGTATACCTTATAACCCTTCTTAAATAAC